TCTGAAGGCATACGCGCGTATACAGTATACGCGTATTCAAAATAAAGAAAACTCTTTCTCGCTCTGTGGCAAGCAGTCAAGCCATTGAAAACAACAATGTCTTGTTAAGAAAAGAAAAAACAATAGGTTAGCTCATACATACTAATCAGGTATACGCGTATATACTGTATACGCGTATGTGCGTATATGCATACGCGTATGTGCGTATACGCGTATTGGGCTGACGCGAATTACGCGTATATTTTGGTTCGGATATATCTGAGCTGCACTGTATTCCGAAGCAGCTAGTAGGGTTTCCCGTAAAAAAAAAAAAAAAGTCAAAACACATGAGAGCGTATTATAAAGTGTTTTGATAGAAGCTGACAGTCCCTCAAGCTTTTGATTATCCTGAGAGCAAGCTCTTTAACTCTTGGGGGTAGGGGTGGTGCTTTTTGCCCCCAAGGCAGGTTTTCATAGCTAAAGAATATTGTGGCCTGCGAATTGGAACAACAGAAATAAAAGTAGATACAGTAAGCAGTTGTTCGAAATCGGAAAAAAAATGTGAAATAGCACTTTGTTGGACAGCCTAAGAAAAGGCCGCTCTAAAATTGGTACAAAACAGCATTTGTAAGGAATAGATATTCACGCTTCTTCCAGAATACCATTAAAAGACAAATTTTATTATGCTCTTTTAGTTTTGGCGTCCCTTGCTGGGAACACTGCAGCGCGATAAACGGTTCAATTTTGTAGAAGTATAAAACTTGTTTTCATTCATCCCGTTTAATTGCTCCCATTTTCCCTTGAAGTTAGATACCCCGGTTCCAGAAGGTTTTCTGTTCACTTCCCCGAAAAATAACCTCGAGAATCATGAAAGCGTCGCTTGTTGTTGAAGTAAGTCACAGTTCACTAAACATAAACAAAGCAATGTGAATGTTAGCTACTGCTGATAAACAAAAAGTCCGTTGATATGTGCCCAGTGACGCGGAAAAACCGCTACTCGAAAATATCAATCCAAAACAACTGTTAAAAAAGTCAACAAACCCTGTAAGCTTTATCAAATTTTGCTTTTCAAGGGCCCAAAAACACCCTTTTCTGAAATATTTTCCCTACAATATTTTTGGCATCCTGTTGTTATCGGAAATTGGCAACGCATGCATTCCCGTTAAATTCGTGACGTGGGCATTTGATACGCCCTGCGAGTCAAAAAGGTCAAGTCAGATTTTCTCTGTTTGTCTGTATGTGAAATAACGCGCTCCAAATTTGAATAGGCGTCTCGTTGAACAGTCATTTACTGTATTTATTCATCTAGGCCAAATCTCTTTTCTGTTATAGGGTAGCAAAGCGGTCACCCAGCGTTTTTTCCACCCAAACCTAAAGCAGTACATACAGCAATATTTGGCCGTGACTATGGGTTGACGGTTTGGAAACATTGTTCGCTCGCGAGGTTGCATGTTTTGAAGACCGTTGGCCGACGCAGCGATCTTACAGGGAAATAAATTTGGCTAACAGTTGCATTTTATACTGGAAGATGACAACTATTGTGGATTGGAAAGGGTTGTGTTTCGTTAGCTAGGTAAGTAAATTTGTGTACTGATAAAAAATTCCGTTGTTGTTCTGATATATAAATGCCAAGTATCGAAATTTTAATGTTTCATTTAGTTCAGCAGTTGAATTATCTTTACTATTAGCTGATGTTTTATATTTTTGGTAGAGACTAGTGAGCGAATTTTAGCGGATTTTAGAAACGACTGGCTGAAAAAATATTTCCAGACTCGATAATTATAATTCCAAGGCTCAGACTTTTTATGGAAAAGCCTAACGGAGGTTGTAGTGTGTTAATAAATTATACTAAAAAAAAAAGATTCAAATTTAAAGGTAAGAGTTTCCTGAGCCTTTTATTGTTTTCTTGTGATATTTGCAGACAGTTACGTTCAAAAAGTTTCACAGAAAACAAATAGATATCCGGAGAACGAGAGTCTAGAGTCTTATGTTGCGGGACTGGGGTCATTAATTAAGTAATTAATGAAAAATTAAAATATTCAAAAATTAGAATTTCTCTTCAATTAATTTTTGTCCTAGTCTGGTTGTTCTTCTATGATGAGTTATAAATAAACAGTTAAACGACAGCAAAATAGTGATCATTTCATGCGATTTCAGGTACTATCCAGAGAAGCTTGTCGCCTCACGAAGTTCTTTCCATATTTCAGTTAGTCCAGCCCCATATTTGAAATATCCACAAAAATTTGTTCTTCCGCTTTCGGCGCGGCTTCAGTCAGTTCGGACCTGACAACGGTATTGAGGTCACTGATTGCCAAAGAGCCTAAGAGGCAGACGCGGGTTTAGATTTCTCGACCGATTGGAGATTTTCGCATCATAACGTTAGTAAAATAATTTTAAATGTTGAGAATACGTCGGATCTTGTATGAAGTCTAATTATCCTTCCTAACAGTAGGCCAAATTACTTATGATCCGCCCACAAATCATTTGGTGTAAGTCGGCCATGTTGACCTTCACCGACCTTTTTCAAGTCATAAAAAAGATTTTTCGGGAATTTAGCGGATGATGACAAAATTTACTGAACACAAAATACTCGTGCCCTAAAAATACTTTGAAATTTTGAAATTAAATATGCAACAATTGGCCCTGCCCCATTTATGGGACCTTTTATGGTGAAGATTAAGCAGCCTGGGCTTTAACTAGGGACTGTGACTCGTTGTAAAGAAAATCCCGTAAGAGTAAGATGTGCAGAATCGTCGCACGCTGGTCATGGACGAAAAAAATCCTGGCCCATCGTTGTGGAGAGGTGACGCCAAGTGCAGTCAACGACATGTGTCTAGATACTAATGAAGCGAAAATGTTTGACCTCGCCAAGGTGCTTATTTTTTTGTTGTTTTTACAAGGATCACAAAAATGACATGTTATTTTCGAAAATAAATAAATTTTGTAAATAATAAATGGTTAACTCCTCGTCAATAGGTTTTCTTATCGTCTGCCTTCTATATAAAACAGCTGATAAATAAGGGCTCCAATTTGATCGGTCGTTACTCCATTATAAAATTTCGCTACACACGGACAGTACACACACCTCTATACAGCTACCTCATCGAGAGGGAATTTTTCTGATGACTCTTCGCGGCATGATTATAACAACTGTGCAGGAGAAGAGAGATGTGTAAGCTTTGAACGAAATCCATTGTTTTAGAATTTTATGAATGGTGATCGCATTTATCTATCTTTTCTTTCAAGTTTGCCACATAACTTGCATCATCACAGTTTTGTACGCAAGTTTTGCATTTTCGAACATCAAGCTAGCCTGCGAACAGGCTCCCGGCGAGCCCGAAGTCCCGCCCCGATCGCTTCGCTATCGGAATTCTTCAGTTTCGCGCTAGCCGAATTTTTTTCCGTCTTTGCCGGGAGCCTGTTCACAGGCTAACATCAAGCCTGAAAAAAATTCAGTCTTGAACCGATGCAAGCCAACTGGGAGCTCGTATATTTAATATGTACATTTAGATGTGGACTGCGTAGCAGGCGTTCATTCTAAAAAAAAAAAAAACGAAAGGGGAACAAAACGGCGAGCGAGTGCGGAAAACAATATGAAGATCATATGTCTGAACTGTGGGATAAAGTAAAAATTCTTCTTTCTTTTCACAGATATTACGGGGGAACGTTTGAGAAAGAAAATTGCCAACGATGTCTATAGCATTGTGGATCATAGCGTACACTCTGATTGGTCTGTTGCTGCTTATAACACTTGTGTACGTCGGAGTTCTGTCGTATAAAACTTACGTCATCCGACGGGACAATCGGAAAATGGGTTATAACTACGGTTTTATCATCGGCACGCCTTCGGAAGGGGACAGGCCTGGTTCGGCTAAGGATACGCCACCGAGTCCTAAACGACTGGAAGCCTCGGTTAAACCGCCAACTGTTCCGCCCTACTCTGGTAAGATACTCCAAAAGTGGCAGAATGCAAACAAACAAAATGTCAAACAAACAACAAACTTTAGCTTCTCTCTCTAGTCAGTTCAGTGCTACGGAAAATGAGGTTCAGCCTGAGTACAACTGCCTTATTTCCTATATGACAGGCCGGGACTGATGTATGCGTCAAGTATTTTTAGTGTATCTGATCGGAATGCTGACCGCTGAATCTTTAATTAGCAAGCGCTCGAGTAATAATAGTGAGTGAGGTAGAGGGGTGAGCGAGAGTGAGAACACGCTCACAAGTGCACACAAATCCAGTGCTGGTAGGTTGATGCGTGTTGTTTCTCAAAAAGTCCTTTTTTTTCGGAACAGTAGTTGATGAAACACAAAAATTCTAGGTCATTATTTGGGTTATTGTAAGATTGGGGCAACTGATTTATAGAGACATTATACTGATACATCATAGCTTTAAGAGTGCTTTAATAATGTTAGCCATTTACGGAATTTCCAGACATTTTGAGCAGAGATCAACAGTAAATCCAATTAACAGTTCAAGTCTGTGTGCTCAAGTGTTCGTGCCAAATGGCATGCACATACAGCCATAAGACCTCATTTTGAATTGACGATGCCGTTTCTCCTCCCTAGCCGCCCCTCCCTAGTTATGGCGCGCTGTGCGTGGAGTTGTGAGCCTGTTACACTAGGCAAGTCGATCCGCGTTTCGCTGCGTTTCACAGGCGAAGCACAACGACACTTGAGCCATGGTACAAGACACAACAATGTCTATAACTGATCACTTGTTGTTTCGCACTTCCTATTTTAGTTGGCGAGGTTCATGAAGTTCATGTCCAGCCTCTTCTAAACAGACGCTCGGTCGTGGACTTTTCACCAGTACCCGGGAGTCCAACCACCCCACTGACTCCCAGGTCACCAAGTACTCCGTCGTTCTTTGATGATTTGGGTAGCCTGGATCCGAGTCTTTATACAACTATTGCTGAGGTGGGTCTAACAGAAATATCTTGATTCCTTGTCACTCGATGAGTGTTTTTCGTCGGAGTTTCGAAAGAATATTTCCCAGACCTTAATTTACTAACTACAGTGCTTCTGCAAAGGTTCCGTCAAAAGTAAGCAACTGTGGAAGATTCTCGTTTAGCTCTGTTATAGGGAAGCAGATAAAGTGATGTTGATAATCCTTCAGAAGAAGAAAAAAAACAGCGCACTGCAGGCCGTTTTTCTTCTTGCGCTGGCTTTTGCGTCACCCTTCGAAAGAAAGCGGGGTTGCGCGAAATGCATATTAATATCCACCAGGGACAAATTTTGAACTTTTCACTAGCAATTTTGAATCCCAAGGGGTCTCCCATATGAAAAGATCGGGCGTGCTCGTCGTCTCACTTAGGGGCATAAATCAAGGATTCTGGCCTCACTTAGGGTGTTGATGACAAAACGCCACTATTTTTAGCTGTCAGAATATCTTTTAGGGTGCACTGGAAGAAATAATCACACAAAAAAACGCACTTATTTCCATATTTAGGCTCAATTTTTCGGGTCTCGTGAGTCCGATCTTCTAATGCGGGATCCTGTCTTAAACAGTGGCTGGTAATCAAGCCTTTTCCGTTTTAAGTGGTATCTTTTAGGGGTCAAACAAAGCTTGAGCCACACCAAGATTGGTCTCCATTTGGGGTTTAATTCAAATTTTCCGACGAGCATCCCCGACATTGTCATATGGGAGTTTCCCCCGGGTACCGAATATTACCTCCTACTGACGTGTTGTTCTGTAATCTCCATTGCACAGGAGGATGAAAATGCTCTCTCTCCGGGTAGTTCTGATGGTGCCTCTTCTTCTCACAATCTTGGCCAGGCTCATTTTATTGTTAAGTTTGATCAGCACCGGTCCGTTCTCACGGTAAGGCTCGTCAAAGCGCTGAATTTGTCACCGCTTGAAAAGGAATGGAGCAAGCCTTGCAACCCTTATGTTATCGTTCAACTGCTTCCTGATTACCGACATCAACTGCAATCTACGGTGCACAAGAAAACTACCAACCCTCGCTTCGATGAGACTTTCGAATTTGAGGTAAGGAAAAATGCACAGCCCTTTGGACGCGTTGCGAGCGTACATATCATTCCCACTTTAGACAATGCGAGAGTGGAAATTCATGAAATAAATTGAGGATGTTGGTAGTGCATGCCTTAAACTTCAAGCCGGTCCACAGGTATGTCACTCCAATGGTGGAACATAAATAATAGGGAATTAAAGTTCACGACATTTTTTACTTAAGGCATAATAGACTAAACTAAGTTCTTTGTCCTTTCATAGTTAACTTACAAGGAGCTTCAGCTTCAGACCTTATGGCTGACGTTCCTGTCATTTGATTCATCGTCACGTCACGATGTGATTGGACAAGTGGTTCTACCGCTGACTGATTTATCGCTATCTCAAGACAATGTGTTTCGTACTGACATCAGACCGAGTCTGAAGGTATGCATGCGTTGATATTTATTACAAGGACATGGTGCATATAGGAATGAAACTCACCACTCTATAATTGAACAAACTCACTTGAAATGCCGTCTGATAATGGTCCCCTTAGTTAGATATATAACGTATCTCTTAACTGAACACGGTAAAGAAATAAATGGCGCCCTCAGCAACTTCTGGATTTTGGTCTCGCCAGCCATAAATCAGTCATTGGCAGAAATTCAGTCCGCCGCTTCGCTTGATCAACGGTGCGAGCGGAGTCGGTCGATTCATTCATAGCAATTTATGAATTGGTTTGTTTTATTTTAATTTTCTGTTAGAAACAAGTTTCTTTAGGAGAACTGATGGTTTCCCTTGGTTACCTCAAGTCCGCGGAGAGACTAACAGTTGTTGTCATCAAGGCCCGCAATCTGCCAGCGGTCAATATTAAAGGATCAGGTTTGCGAAGTTGACGAAGTTGACTTAGTTATTTCCTTTTCATCCTTTTTACTGGGATAAGTATCATATTTTAGCTCTATTTTCTGAAAGACCGAATGTTTTGAAAACAAAACACGAAAGAGTCATATTTAAACATACTAAAGTGCATTTTCCGACAATCAGTCTCTTAAAATTTTCACATGAGTTAAAAATGCGACCACATAAATGGTGGTTTTCTCTAACGCATATGCATCATTATAAACAACATATGCTGATGCAGATAAAAGGTTATAAGTGGCGACTTATGTTGGAAATTTTCCAAGAAAAACTCTGCGCAAGTGATCATCAAATCATTCAGTGTCTATCTACGTTGCTTGATAGTGCTTATGTATATCCGCTAGTGAAAACCAGCCTTTGAATTTCCTACATAGGTTGACCATTCAAAAGTCACATCCTTCTAGATGTTGTTCTTCAGTAGCTTAGTAGCTTTTGTTTCATCCCCACGGTAAATTTCACATCCATGCTTTTTCACTCAAGATAGGAAAGGGTAAACGTAAGCATGTTGCTTTGATGCGCGGCTCCTGTGGCCGGTGGACGCTAACGACTTGAATTTCTTGTTCTTTACTTTTTACTCGTAGATCCATATGTTAAAGTCTATCTACTCGTGGCAGGGAAACGCGTGAAAAAGAAGAAAACTTCCACCAGGAAGGGATCACTAAACCCTGTGTTTAACGAGGCTGTCTCGTTCGACATAGCAATGGACGCCATGAACTCAGTTGACCTACTACTGTCGGTCATGCACGAAAACATGATTATCGGCTGCGTGTCAATTGGCGCGCACGCCACAGGAAAAGAACTTGGTCACTGGCGGGAAGTGCGTACTGCCAACAAACCAGTGGCGCACTGGCACCTGCTGCAAGACCCAAAGAAATTTTATTAAGCAGGATTTAATGGAAACTGCGGTAGCAAATTTCAACGTAGGGCTTTTTCATCTTCGTGCAAGATGGTCATTGAAGAAGAATGAATTGAGAATGAGAATTTAACAGCTTGCCTTTTGTTGTAATTGTGGTGCTAGCGACAAGGCCATCAGCTGCAAGTCTCAGGAACGAGGCGGAATGAGGAGGAAGCTTTTCATATCTCTTCCCCATTCCTCCTCGTTCTACCTGGATGACAAGCTACATGGACTGGTGATTATGTGGTGTATGATGTTACCGGAAATTCCTGTTTGAGTGTATGTCACATGACCCTTGAAACAACGGACGAATTAAGGTTCTTTTTTCAACTGTGGACATCATTTTGCAGAGTTTTGGGGGTTTGCAAAAGAGTTCAGAAAGACAGTTTTGATAAGTGAAATTTGTTTAAAATAGAAGTCTTTTCAGTTTTGTTAATCTTCTTTAAGATATCGTTTACTCTTTTTACATAAATATGTAATACTATAGTTTTTAGAATAGATCTTGTCGTTATGACAATGTAACGTTTTTGATAAACATCGTATGTTTCGCTCTATTTTCAACAGGGACTTTTATAAAAAGAAGTCTCACTGCAAAGGAATGTTTTCAGTAATAAAATAAGAAAGACAAAAGAGACTGTGTTGAATGTTGCAAAAATTAAGCGAAGAACACGAAAGCCTTGAACATTTTGAACGACTATCAGTTGGATTTGACAAAACCCAGAACCTCTGAAACTGTTCTTGTCAGTTAAGCTCACACATGTCCTCAGGGGTAGGGTGCCGGGGAATGTGCCAACTTTTCGCCTCTTCCTATTTGAGATTCCTTCCTATCGCACTGCCATGCTTGAAAGAATCTGAAGGAACAAAGTTAGTTTCCCCGATATGATTCTAACTACGGATCGCGACTCGTAAAGTGGTTGATAAACGTGCACAGAATTATATGAATCGCCTCGCTCTATGCCCGTTCTGCCTGTCAGCAATGTGAACTGATCAAAAAAAATGTTTTCAAAGTAGAGCGATCTCTTTCCATGTCGTTACTTCGCTCATTTCCAGTGTTTTTTCCATCTCTTCCCAGGCGGAATAGAATAGCATAGTTGATTAAGACGGTGAATATCTATGTCGTTGTCCTGGAGTTTGTTTCCCGTTACTTCTGTAATAATTCTTGTTTCTCCGCCCATCCTCTCTTCTTACGTTTTGGTACTCCCTACAACGGTACCATGTGTACAGCGGATTTGATAAAAAATAACCAAAGCCTAATCCAGTGACAATTGACACAAAGAGCCAAATGTTCCACGTGCCAACCACCAACATCAACAGATAACCTGCTATGGCATTCAGAAGATAAGAGCCTGTCCGTAAAACGTGATCTTGTATTCTGAAATAGTAAGACAGCATAGGGTGTTAACGGAGTACTATTACAAGGATTTTTGCTTCATTTCTGTCAAAACCCATGAGTAAATCAGCTCATACACTAGATATTCTTAGCTAAAGCTCTAAGATGTTCATTGAATTGATGGCAAATAAAAGTAAGTTTAGATGACTTTTTCAAGACCGAAGGAGAAAATTGGAAAAAAGGCTGCCCGACGTTTTCATTTTGATACCAAAAACCTCGTTTATGCGTACCTCAGCGGAACACCCCTTTGGAAGCTTCAGTACACTCATGGGATAACTTGTAACAGCATTACACCATTATATGTAGGTTCAATTGATTGAAATAAGTCTCTTGGCTTTTGACTTTTCCTAGTGATGCTCATGTGATGCTAGCCTCCTGAGCCAACAGACAATTTTGGTCTCGTGGCGTGATTCTTTCTTGTGGAGTACGTAATGAGCCATAAGAACGTCTGCATTGGAGGCGTATAAAAGCCTAGTTCAAAGTTTCACAAATTTATTGCCAAAGAATAACGTTTCTCACTGACAAAACAAAAATGTCAACCGGGAGTTTAGCCACGGCAGGACTGTTAAAGCGATACTGGCACAAACCTTTTGGTTGTGGAAGATTTCTGGGTTACAGATCTTTTGGCGGCGGGAAGGTCGAGGTAACTGTGATAAGAAGACATGAACTCGTAAAGGACAGCGAGAGAAAATACCGCAATAAGAGAACCGCTCAAACCTACGAGGATAAAACGGAAGAAGAATTAGAAATCCAGCTGCCTTTAAACTAAAAAAGGGACAAAAAAAACTGGTCAGTTTAAAGTAGTCCCAAGGTGTCTCGGCTGAGGGGAGTCTGGACCCGGCAGTAATCAGTGAGTCGGGTTACCGAGCCATCTCAGGCTCATCTCAGGCTTCGCTCGGTTATCGTAATAAAAACGAGGCTGGTTTTAAGAGCGTTTCCTCTCTGAACGTACCATTTATTGATGTCACCTTCCACTGCCGAATAAGAACTTGCACCTCTTCAACAATGGATATTGTCATGGTCCAGTGCTATGAGAAAGAAATGATTACCAACGCAATTATTGTGTCCTTGGCCTACGACAAGGGGCTATACATCCCAAGCATTGCCTTATTGTTGATGGAGACTCTTTAACTTCAAACCAAGTTGCTCAGCTAAAGGACTTGATGGCAAGATAACGAAAGAACGGCAAACATTTAAAAAGAAAAATAATTTGTAATTTCTACTAATAGGAAATAACCTATGATCCGGCTCTTTATTTTTGTTTAACTTGAGTTTGGTAAGCCGGTCCCCTCATCAGGAAACTCAAAACTAATATAAGACACCATCCTCGTCCAGATAGCGGTTAGATCCTCGTACCCAGTCCCTTTTTTTACGAGTCGGTTTGACAGTTGTATGCAACATTTCATTCGCATCGATTAGGTCTTCTTTATTTGTCAGTATTTGAATGCACTTTAAACATTGAAAGCTTTTTTCTTACCCACTGGAAAAAAAAAACTGCATGCACAAGCTTGAAACCCCAGACGAATAAGCTATTTCAAAATCGGTGCAGTTTACTTGCAAATGATGAAGCTGATCTAATTATTTGCATTTTTAATCTATACAGGAGCTTAAAATTTAAACTTAGTCCTCCTTGCAACTGCAGAAGTTTCGCGGTGAAAAGTTCGTTAACTCATTCCCGTCACATCAAAAAACAGGCAAAATTGTGGTAATTGGTAATTTGTTTGCTTTGCACACTATGCGGATCAATCAAAATTCCGTGCAATTTGGATGAAAGTTTATCTACGCGAATGGAACCTTTCCATAGAGTAGATTTTATCATTTACTCCGTACAATGAACATCTAGAAACATTAATTATGTTGCATTGTAGACTGCAAAACAGTCGTATTTTTTGCGAACGCGAGAGACGGTCAATATTTGAACGAAAGGTCTGAAGCGTAAAAACGGCGAGGGAGAATGGGCAGAGACGCTAAAAAATACGCCCTCGGGCGTGTGAGACTCGCGCGCTTCACACGCGAGGATCGCGCCTTCCGAAAACGTCCGGAAACGACTGTTTTGCAGTCTAGTTGCATTAGTGATGCAGTTAACAAAGTTCTTAAAAGGTCCGATTCACCCCGGCCACTGTCATTGAAATCGTAAAACGTTTAGATCTCGGATACTCTGAAAAAGGTTACGTAACTCCAAAATCTTCTTCAGTTTCACTTCGAGAAGTAGCACGAATCAAACACTGCGCACAAGTCTTGAACTTGTAAGTTGTGGTTATTTGTCTTTCAAATTTAGTAAATATTACAAGTAAACGAACCAAGGATTCAAATAGATGTCAACATCGCTATAGCTAAACTCTTCTGGTTGTAATTCCCAAGAAAGAGAAGAGATTACAGTCCTCGTTCATGTTATATATGCAGGTTATCTCAATGTAGCTCGTTCAAAGTTTAATTTAAATTAGTTTCTCGACGCTCAGATACCGAGGGAGCGAACCATTGTTATGCAGAGCGAACGCTTGCAATTCTCAAGAAGAAACATAGTTAGCGACTCATTAGGAAATAAGATAGAATGCAGAACCTCCCATGAGAAAACCTTTGACGAAAAAAACCTGAGAGGATACAAACATGAACACGCAATTATCAACGCTTGACTCTGAAGATATAAAACTCCTTTTAGCTTTCGTGATCTCCTTCGTGATCATTTTGTATAAACACTAACAGTGAGTTATTTAATCGAATTAAAATTCGCTTACCTTTTTTCAGCAGTTCTAACTTAAAGGTCGGGAAATGTGAGAGTTTTTAGAGCATGGCGTTATGCGAAATTGATCGATTACAGGTCACACTGGCAAGAAGGATTAAATCTGTTTGGGTTGGATAGTCTTTTTGTTTTGGCAAACCGACAACTCTCTTTTGTTCCGTGGAATTTCCGACAGCTTAACATGTTTGTATTAGCTAGTAGCAGGGCCCACGTAGCAAATTTGAGTTGTGGAGGGAGTAGGGGTGGGGAGAGGAAGGAGGGCTTACGCTCCAAAGAAGCTCGAAGAGCAGAACGAGCAAAGTAAGGATAATAATTCCTATGAAGTGGCAAGAAATGCGTTTCAAAATCACTAACCGTCGGCGTCACATGTAATTGCAAACTGGTCAGAACTGATGTTTTTACTGTCCTATTCGCCATCTAATTTGTCAGTATACTATCATGAACATGCCGACTTTGAAAAGCACAACCTATAGCTAAGAGACCTATTTTCTTCGATAGAAACATCAAAATAATATTCTTGTTTTGTTTTAAAAAATTACCTTACCCATTGACTCCCGGAGCTCTTTGCCAAAAAAAACACATTTTTTGGATATTTTGGAGATATTTGGCCTGGATATGGGCCCAATTAGCTCCAATCTTCTCAAAAAGGCATTTGCAACATGACAGCATGCCCTTCTTTCCACTAGTCCGGGTTTTGCGACATTTTTTCTCGGGCATAGGCAGAAATCAAAATTTGGCGTTTTGATTTCGTTAATTTTTTTTTTTACGCTCGTCCTTTTTCTCCTTGTCTTATCTTCTTGCTGCAGTGATTGACCTTCTATTGGACTTGCTTTCAGTTCAAAACTTTCTGAGAAGGTATCATCGAGACGGGCAATATTTACCATAGAGTAGCTAAGTGTAGTCGCAAAACATTTTGCTGCGAGTTTTTCACTCAAATTTCTGAGTATTTTTGTGCATATTTCAGGTTCCATTGAGTCAATCAATTTGATCTAGGTATCACTAGAATGGTCCTTTCCTCCTGCTGAACATGATGCCAATTTTGGTCAAAGGTGATGACGTCAGAAGTGGAACAAAGGCCAAAGCTCATCACGGCCGGTTAGGAGCGGCACGGGAGTTAATGGGTTAATTAATTAGAACACTCTCTGAACTAAAAAGAGATTGTTAAAATGTGTTACGCATGTACAATCAAGCTGAAATGTCAAATTGATTAGGTCTTTAAACTACGTTGTTGCCACCTAGCAGCGCAAATGTCTTTAAAACCTAATAACAATGTGCACTCCCTTCAACAATTCATTCAATGTCCTCATTACGTTGTTCTATATATGAGCCGTTTTGTCTATGAGTGAAGTTTTTTATTATTGTTATTATTATTATTATTATTATTATTAT